TGTCTTTCAATTGAGTTATCTATTTCTGACATTTTATTGTTAATCTTCTGGATTTCTAGTTGCTGTTTTTGTATGATTTCTAATTGTCTATTTAATTTATCACTTTGTTCTTGTATTGTTTTCCTGAATTCTTGTAGGGTTTTGTCTATGTTTTCCTTGGTTTTGTCTGTGTTTTTCTTGATTTCTTTGATGATTCTATATATAAGCCCTTTGAATTCCTTATCAGGCAGTTCCATTACCATCTCTTCCTCAGGAAGGTTTCCTGCCCCTTTGTTTTGGTCACTTGGTTGAGCCATCTTGTCTTATTTCTTTATATGATTTGATATTGTCTGCTGTCTTCAAGGCATTAAAGTGTTATTTTATTTATGATTTTGTTTTGTTTTGATATGTCAGAGCAGGTGCTCTCTCTGGTGGGGAAGGGGTGGGGCAGGCAGCCGGGGGTCACACAGGCACTCTCTCCAGACGGGGAGGGGGAGGGTGGGCAGCTGGGGGGCGTGTAGGTGCTCTGTCCAGCAGGGGAGGGGCAGGGTGGGTGGCTGGGAGTTGTGCAGGTGCTCTCTCTGGTGGAGGAGGGGAGGGTCAGGCGGTTGGGGAGTAGGGGAGAGAAAGTGGAAAAGAAAACAAAAAAAGTGGGGAGCTTGTCTATTACTCTGTATCTACCACCCACAGTACCAGTCAGGTACTGCCACTGGAGAGTCACCTTGTCTCTGGATCCTGATTTCCTCCTTGCTCTGTGTACACCGGCATCCCTGAAGCTCTCGTCTTCCTTCCTGTATTTTCCCTCCTTAGCTCCAGCACATGTCCTGCTCACCTTACTTCACTCTGGCTATGTCTTTGCAGTTTCTCTGTCTCCCATTGGGAGTTCTGTGATGTTGTCTTCCTATCCTCCTCACTCAGGGTCACTGCTGGCTTTGTCTCAAAATGGCCCCACTGTGCTGGACCAGCTGGCAGGGCACCTCTGCTCTGTATCTCTCCCCATTCGCTGCTGACATTCTGTTTCTTTTTCCAAACGGTGTTTGATGTAATTCTGTATTCTTTCATTTGATGCTCAGGGTTCAAGGGTTGTCGTCTGTATCTGTTACACTTTTATTTGCTGTAGAGGGACAGCATGGTGCACCTGACTAGGCCGCCATCTTGAATCAATCTCCTTGGTGTTAAAGCGTTACACAAAAGAAGCAAGTTTAAGTTTAGTGTTTGTGTATTGACTCTCAGTGATACTTTTTCTCCCCAAATTTTATTACGAACACTTTCAAAGATAGAATTTTAAAGAAAAATGCAATGAATGCCTGCATATTCACCATTAGATTCAGTACTTATAAGATTTTGTCATATTTCCTTTACCTATCTGCAATTTTTTTTCTCAGTTATTTGCAAGTAAGTTGCAGGCATTATGACCCTTTACCCCTAAACAATTCCACATATATAGATATTTTTAAAAAGGACATTTTTGTAACTCGATAATAATCTAATATCTAGTTCATATTCAGATTTTTCCAGTTGTCCTCAAAATATCTTTTATAACTGATTTTTTTTTTGAACCAGGATTTGATCAAGTTTCTCCCATTGTATTTGCTAGTTATTTCTCTTTACTGCCTTTAAATCTGGAACAGCCCTAGCCTTTCACATTGACTCTTTGAAGAGACCAGGCCAGTTTTCTTGTAGAATGTCCCACATTTTGGATTGTCTGTCTGTTTCCTATTTTCCCTTGGTTTTCTGTAAACTGACCCAGGGAGCAAGAGAGCTGAGCACCTTCGGGCGGGAGGCTTGCTAGTGGAGTAGGGTACCTCTAGGCACTTGTCGAGGGAGTCAAAAGAGCTGTAACACTTGCCTGAGCAGGGCAGAGACATGAGTGGGGCCTGGTGGCAGAGACCCAAGAGAAGGCCCAGCAGTGGTCACAGCTGAGAAGCTGAGAGCTGTCTTGGTTGAAAGCTGTCCTGATTGAAGAACTGTCTCCTGAGTTGTATCCTGTTATTTCCAAGTTGATTCTGATCCCAAGTTGTAACCTGTTACTTCTCCAATAAACCACTTAATCGTGAGTATGGTCTGTGA